TGTATATTTACATCATTATATATTTCTTACCCCACCCCCCACATGATCCTATATCCATCACCAATCGTATACACATCGAATTGTGCTAATTTACTACAAAGTTACGCAAAGCAGCATCTACTATCTAAAATATGTACTGCGTGACTCTTAATACGTCCCTGCCGAATGTTACAGCGTTCGATGATCACGTGGTCTTGTTTTGTCTAATTTTTACCTTTGAACGTGGCTAGTGCATCTGCTGCTGTGCTGCTTTGTTCCTTGAACAGTATTATTAGCTCCAAATAACTGCTTCATTTCTGTCTTATTCTTATACGCTATTCAATTATGTTTAGTTCGTAGAGAAGTCTAAAGTCGCAAAAAGTAGCAGTTTCCATTTAAGTTGCGGCCACCAATCGGCCTTGAGATCAGACGATCTAATAGCTTATGGCTATTAAAAGCTTATCTTTTTATATGTAGTTACACAAATTTTGTATCCATACCAGACGAGTACTAATCATAATGTGACAAAGCTGAAACATTGAATAAACTTCAATTCGGTTTCTTAACATTTATTTTCAACACTTTTTAACAAAACTGAAGTAATAGCAACATTGTTTGAACTCTCTCTAATTTATTAAAATCAAACCTGGGGTTTCTGATTTGTTTCTTGTAACAAAGTAATCTGTCAAAGATACACCACTGACTGTCTTGGTGGCAATACGACTCTAGGAAAACACTTTCACTGCGACGATGTTATATAATCATTAATCAGGTCCGAACCTACCTACCTATATATCATTATATGCACATTTTGTGTACTTGTGACCCACATATCATCGTAATACGACAATGTAACAGTCAAATTGCTATAAATACGGTCTACTCACGGAACACATGCAACTAGACTGCAACGCACCATGAACCGCGTCTCGATTAGGTATTATGCATTATATTACGTTTAGATAACATCATTATATTTTGATATACACATAAAGCTCATCCAAAATCAAACAAATGAATTTCACGCAATATCATAGGCGCGCAAAGCAATAGCAGAAATATTTTCTCGAAACAATGGAAGAAACCATATACAAGGTGTTATGGAATGCTGCTAGGAAATTAAGAAAAAGAAAAATAAGTATAGGGACGGAAATGTCCCGTTGCATATGGGATGCTTAAACGTGTCGGTCTTTGATAGTTCACCTAACATTTCTCGGAAACAGATTAAAAGATAATCAATTTTGCTACAGGCAGATGTATGTCATTAACATACATGTGAATAGTTATTTTAACAAACCACTCACATCAGTGGGATTTGTGTCGGCAAGTCTTAGCGAAAAATGGTACGCCATTGATTTTTACAAAAAATACTACTCAAAAATTGCCTAGGTTTTTCATTGCTTTCTAAATGGAAATTTCTTAGCCAGTACAATCATCTTACTATAGTTATTAAAAAAATATCGCGCTGGTATGTGTTTATACCAACTAGAAACTCTGACACACCACTTTTCAGAAGACTGCTATCTCAAAGAAGGGTTATGTTTTCGCGCATGGGTACGAGGAAAATTATGTCTCATGGTCTGAGGTCCAAACGACTTGATGATTTTGACATATGAGGTGTTGGTTTCGTCTTAGCAGTGGGAATACACTAGGTATATTAACACTTTATAAAATCTGTACTTAGATTCGTCTTGAGATGCGAGAAACTCAGCATTTTAAATTTTATAAAAACAAAATTACGTTTTTTTAATGCAAATTTCAACTTTGAAATTTCTATTTCACGGGATACAGCTCAAATGGATGGATTTTAACATTTGATAGCACAACTAAAGCTTCATTCTTTTTAGTTACTGTGGAGAACGTTATTGTCTCTGCATAAATCAGTGTGTGTACAATTTTAATTTTTCGCTAACCATAAAGACTAAACATCCCGCATCACATAAACGTAGAATTTTCAGACCCACGCTTAAATTTTCCGTACGATAGATAGACTGAAACAGGTGACATGTATTTTCGTACTTCCTAATATCGTATGTTAAACATCTGAAGAATATCTTTAACACTTTACATTGTTACATGATGTTTGACGTTACTAGGTTGATTAAAATGTACGCTAATAAGTAGTCCAAAGCTCGAGATAATCAGCGACTCTACGATTTGACTAATCACTTACAAATCATGTTGGCAGATGCCAAATGAACGACTAACAATATTTATGCCATTCAGCATTATGATACTCAAAATTTCATATGAGTCCTCCAGCACACCTCGTGAGTAGGCCACAGATACATATGTCAAGTAGATTCCTATTATATGTACCTGAGTAAGTTTGGTAACACCAAATATGCTGTTATATAATCATTAAAACAGGAATGTTGAAACGGTACTGCTGCGCGTCGTATAGATATGTACAATGTTTACCTATACTACTGTTTGAGAAATATTGCTTATGAATAAGTTATTACGATAATTATGTAGCCACCACCCGCATTGACTTGTATTTTTGACAACAAATGATTGAGAGAAGCTAAACCTACGTTTTTGTAATGTAAAGGCATTTGTTTGAATCTGAGTAGTAGTATCCACATACTACTCCTAATTTAAATTCTCTTAAGTCGACAGTGAAACATCTTTGTGGTATTGCAGGAAAATGATATCCAATTAAGCAACTTTGTCCAAGACTCCTTTTTGCGATCCTCAAAAAGCCTTTTTGAATTTCAAGATGCAGGACATTAATCTTTTCATATAACATATTACTTTGTTATCATATTACATATCTGAAATCCTGTATGCTTACTTTTTTGCGCATAACTCATTGTACCATTTAACAATGCATCTTGCAACACCTTCTTATGTAATATTGCGATGTATCCATTGAGATGTATCCGATTAGATTTTACTGTACTAGAATATTATCCAAACTAGTGAGCTACAATTTCGAGCTGGAAAACAGTTGCCGTTCGCGTGTGGACGTAACGTAACACAATAATTATCTCGCTGTTTGCTGAATTGACCTAAGTAATGGGCTATCTTCATACATCTTTCATTTAGGTCACCTACATACGCTGATTTACTGACAGAGGAGGTGTAGCTGTGTTGCTAACCGTTTGGGTTGTTGTCGGTATAGAGTGCCCCAGAAAATATTCAGTTCACTGATTAGGTGTAATTTACATGCAAAAGCGATTTTCCTTTTCAAACATGAAGTAAGTTAAAGACCCTATTATCTAGTCTAGTCAATAGCGACAACTCATCGGTCAATAATTTTGTATGGATGAAAGTAGCCTAGTGGCGAGGATGTATTGTAATCGCAATATATTTTCGAAAATTAGATATGTTTTCTGGATGTTTATATGACATATATCTGCCGATCTATCGGTTTTGTTCTCTCTGCCCGCTAATCCTTGGCCCGACTATAATTTGGAAAGCACCATTCGGTTTTTGATGAATTTGATAACTTATTGCCGCGTCTGACGCGTTTGCGTCAGTAGCATGGAGAGGCAACGTTGCCAAATACCGGTGGGGCATGCACTAGTTGTGTGGGTCTGTTTAATTAACTTGATCCGTTTAATTTTTCATAGGGTTTGACCTGTGCTGAACATAATACTGTATGAAATGATGGCGGCGTTGCGCGAGAAGTGCAGAGTGAACACACCTGAGCTATTTTTTTCTAACTAAATCAAGGAACCTCAAAAATACTGGAATCGACCATTTCAAAAACCGCTTGTGTCCTGTTTTTTCCAACATTCCAACAATTATTTGCTAAAAATGCTTTCTTTAAAGATAAATGCGTATCCTGTATATACACCATACATCACGGAAGTCAATACAATCAGTCCTTTTCAAATAACACTGCGTAATGAACGTTCATTAAATAAACCACCACATAAGTCAGTGACTTTTGCATGTCTACACCATGGATAGCCAACGTGTGGCTTGGATATTCACGGTGTAAACATGTCCACTGATTGATATGATTGTTTTGCTCACACTAAATACCACTAAACCTGTTTCTTACTAAAACAACGTAAGTCATTAAAGGTTTTTATTTTTTTCATGATTATTATTGATAAACTGTTATTTTTCGTGAATAAATCCGTTTTTATTGATTCCCCAAAAAACTCAAATTATGTGACTGATGAGGTTTTTGAAATGATTGATTTAGTTCCCCCGTTAGAGTAAGGGTACCCTTCTGTTCTACTAGTTAAATCAACTGATTATGGAGTTTGCTACAGTGTGATCAACTCAATGATGCAGCCTCTTTCAAAACTTAATAGGCAGACTTGTTATACTACTTGTACCATACCAATTGTACTTTATATGTAGGTACAACGCAAAGCGGCTTGTTTTTCTATTCCTTTGTTTCTTACAGGGTGTCAAAGATGTAAAACATAGATGGTTTTTAGTATGGTATGTTTGCTTCGTGGAGTGAACAGAAGCTAGGTTTTTGTTAAAGTGCATGCATGAAGGCTATGGCATTCCTAGTTACCTTGAACATTTCACTGGAGCCACTGGAAAGCAGGTCTCCAAATCCTCAGAAGCGATTAATTCCTGGAATGATGGAGGGAGAATAACTAAGAGTGGGCCTGGTTTTCATACGTTTCGGGAAGTCGTATTCCTGAACACTGAATAGTAGCATCCCGTGTCGTTTCCGGAGGAAAAGTGTGTGAGTTTTTCCTCACTTTTTCTCAGTGATTATGCTCTCTAGTTTTCAGGAACAGGAGTCTATGCTCAATTCTTCTAAAATTTATTTGTAGTTGTTGCGATAGGTCTTTCGAGTTGATTTCGTGACTGTTATAGAAAATACACATAAGTTAAAATGATATTTCGAATGAAGTAAATTTTGAGGGGGCGCGAGTGGGGCGTCTCTTTCTGGGCTCCCAGATCTCAAGAAAACGGTATATCATCTTGCTAGGCGTGAATCGGGAGACGTGCCATCTGCTCTTCAGCTGTCATGGGCAAGGGCATTTTATCTTAGAAGTGATGACCTGAGTATGCAACTTCACTATCGAACTTCATGACTCCAAATATCTCAGCCGTTCTGGAATATACGGGGTAAGACTTAAAAAAGTGCAACTCTGCCTTGTCCTCCTCTCAGCACATGTATCAGATAGGATCTCTTTTCATCTTTAGAAGGTTATCGTTTCTGGACTGTTGTACGGTGACCCGTATCGTGGCGCACTACTTGGCCTGCCTGCAGTCCATATTCCGAATATAACTTGTGTTGGTTTCATGTTGGGGCCTACATGATCATGTATCCCCAGCAGTGTGGGGATATTTCTATGTCTTCTCTGTCCCAAAAGCATTTGGCTGAAAACCGATAGTGATCTTGAGTCCTAATTTACACTTTGTTAGTCTCTTGAATGTTGAAGGATAATGCAATGTAACTATGTCGACTTCAGGTTTCTATATTACATCTATAATTCAATACGAAGATGGACAAACCTGAACTGATATGTTTCACTCAATTCATGGATATGTTGCCTATAATGTTTGTTAAAAACGTAATTTTTCCAGCCGAATACATCCTCCCCTGCTACAAATCCGACCCCGAAATCAACAAATGTCTACGGAATACTTTCAACCATTTAAGACCTTATCTGAAAACCGGCATCAGTGATATAGAAGTACCTAGCATCGATCCTCTAAAAATCAACACACTGATTATGGAAAATGGAAGAGGGCCTCTCAGGGTGAAAGCTTCCTTCTACAACATCACCACTACTGGGGCCAGCAATTATTCTATCGGACAAATAAAGTAAGTTATTCGTAATGAAATAAACATACCATATACTAGAAAACGGTTTAAGGCTGAAGTTCATCCGTTCATACACTGAGGCCGAAAATAGTGTGTTATTCGCTTGTATGCCTATAGGATATAAAAAATTATATAGAAAATGTCATACGATGCTCCTTTAGGATGATTCAAGTCCCTAAATGTCGCTACCATAAAGCACTGTATAAGACCACGAGGCAGCTTTGTATCCAGTTGGAAACGCACATGATGGTACTCTTAGATAAAATTTAGATCGCCAGGAACAGACTGGCCCCCTAACGGAATCATGCTGATATTCTGTTCTTGATAAAAATGCTAGTGTTTCAGTACAGAATCAACCTTCGCACTGGATCTAGTATACGGGTTACTCCATTCTGGGAAAATAGTAACTCTTGTAATCATCGATCAGAAAGACTCCGGGATATATCGTCGGTCTCCGCAAGTACAGGCGTAAATGACAAAAAAAAAATCTAAAATCGAGTTACGCCGTAATTTCACATATATTTTGTAGTCTCTCACCTCACGATATGACGTAGCTTTATATCAGTTCGCTGCTCAGAAATAAAATTCTTGAAAAATTGCGTAAGTGATAAAATTCCGAAAACAATGTTCACGAACCGGCTTTAATAGATTTACACCTCTGCGTTAAAACTGGTTCTACATAATTTTAGTCTAACAAAAAAACAGCAACGTGCAGACTAAAAAATCAGTATGTCACTTTCAATCTTATTTATTGCTGATTTTCGTTTTCTAGCTCTCCTGTAAAATTTGTAAGATGTTAGTTACGCCGGTACGTGCGGAGACCGACGATATCTACATTTTCATATCACTTAATCAAGTTTCAGATTTTAGTCTGACTTTTTGGGGAACCTCTTTAGTGTAAGTAAATAGGAACTGTATTGAAACAAGAATGTATATTTCAGAAAAGACTATTTTTTCAAAATTTAACAGTAGATTATCTTCATCTAAAGAATTCACCTTCCTGAAAATTTTATTTTCTAGCCATATATACAACACGATGTAAAAACAATATAGGCATTATTGCGTTACGACCGGATCTATTTAAATGAGTGAATTGTTTTTTGCAAATATGGTCAAGTGAGACTTCAACTGGTTACCAGGCTCTCCAAATTTGGTTGGAATATGCAATGTTCTTCATAAGCTATTCCATGTAAACTGATTCCGAATAGCGTCCTTTTGGTGTCTGCATTTTCGTAGGAAAACCACGTAGGACATTTTCTATAAGAACTTAGCATTATTGAATTTTATTCATACTAGAAATGTGCATGCTTTTCTGTGCATAGTGGGTCTTTCTGTAGTCATTCTAGATCTAAGTTCTAGAACATCGTATCTGCTATATTGTGCCCTCCGCAGCTGTAGCTGGCAATTTTATGGTGAATGTGCCGGATTGTGAAGGGAAAATAACATTTTTATGCTTGGCTGCTTGCTGCCACATGGTCAACATATTTTGATGTTTCAGTTACAAAAAAGCAATTTTAAGTAAGAATGGATGACGGGACGATGATGCTGCATTTTTAGTTGCATATTCGCTATCAATGTTGTAGAACTTATAGCATTAATGAGCAAGCATTTTGAATAGTTACCAAAAATCCTTGTGCTCTAAATTTTATGCCAGAATTAGCCGGAAATTTTTCATAAAGCAGTCAAATATTAGGGAAAGTAAACCAAGAAATCTTGGTACAGAAACATTCCCTATGCTGCACTTCAGTAGATGATTAAGGATGTTTTACATTGTACATATTTGATAGACACCAAAGCATCTATCTCCTTTAAAAAACTGTACCTAATGATGATCTTTGCGGTCTCATGTTAAGAAGTTTTCAACCTCGATCAATTGAATCTACTCTTATCTGCAGATTCTATACCTATTCTGTTCCTGAATTTCAAATTTCTTCTCTCGAGAAATCACGCAAAATATCACTTTAAGTAGACTATTGAGCGTTAATTTCATATACGTTTTCTTCTCATACCTCTCATTTTTTTAGGACTGACTTGGACAAGTACATAATCGAATTAGGAGTTGTTCTACCAAGGATCGAAATCAGAGGAAAATATGACGTCAATGGCAATGTGCTTTTGTTTCCTGTAAGGTCAAAGGGAGACTTCTGGGCTATATTCTGTAAGTACACTAGCATTCAAAGCAAAACATATTTGAAAATCTGCTATTTTTTATACTCCAACTACCACGAAGGCCTAAAGCGTAAATACTCATGGGGTACCGTGGGGCTACAGGAGGGATACAGGAGAAAGGGGGTACGCCACAAGGACTCTGGCGAGGGAACACGTGTGCATGCAATATGCCGCCTACGAGATCCGCTGGGTCGTACGTCCGCGTTCGACAGCCAAAGACCGTCTACCACCAACGAACAATCACAACATCCATAGCCACCGCTGCTTCCTACACAATTTTACTTGACCAGATTTTTGAAACGATGATAATGTTAATATAACTTCTGAAACGTATCATCTGTTTTTCCGAATCAAACTACATGCCGGATGTTTTAAATTCGACTCTCACCAAAAATTGAAATATCTAAAAAGATAATATTCCTGTAACTCATTGAATTAAGATTAACCCAGTGCCGAAACTTCTCCTATTTAAGGGTCCTATTAAAAACAGTATCAATCAATATAACTGTGATTCTAGCCGAAAACCATTTTCCATTAGGAAACAGCCTGGTTCTTTCCAAAGCTAACTGTAAAAATATCAGTTCTTTTGAAATAACTGAGATTTGACATTGTGAATGCATGCAAAAATCCACTATGGAGTCTATAATAAAGTAGATTCGATGATTGAGGACAAGAAACGATACGTCATGTTGAAATTCCCAGCAAACAGATAATATTATAATAATAATATATTCGCAATAAGTGATTTGGCAAAGTTCTATAGCATGTCTCATAAAGATATGTTCTAAAAATGTGCTCTTCAAGATATTTACAAGCTCTAAAAATATTCTCATCAAGTGATGAAAAAGACTTCCCAGAGAGCACACATACATCACAATAGTTGTCTATCCAAGATGGATATCCAGGATATTCACTGGGTGGACTGTCCACATCCAATGGATATCGATTTGAGTATCGAAATGACCGCCTATATCCAAGAATATGATATGACAATACTGATGTCAAATGTGTAGGGTGTAAACGTTATGGTAGTCATTATTGAAATGGGTAATGGGGGGGGGGGGTCAAAACAATTCAATAAGTTTATATGACCATCATCCAAAAGTCTAAATGGCTTTATACTTTACAAATTTAAGTGCTTTATATCGACCACAATCACGACAATGTTACTAAGTTGTATAATCTAATGTAAAACATTTTTAAATTGGGTAACTAACAAATAAATGGCATTAAGCTTTTCTAAGTTAAGCCAAAATTTGTAGTCAGTAAGTAAGTGAGTTTCATTAAATTACATATTTAAAATACACATGACAGCAGCGCGTCGGCCTTTCATCACTCTTATCGAACCGGCAATCGATCGCAAACGGTAACAGTGGTTAGATATCGGGCATCGGACCTGTTTTGTTTTTGTTCGCGTACGTAGTCGTGTTTCTCTACAATATTCTCGAATCAAGAGTTCACCGACATGGTGTTAGTTTACGGTGAAGCTCGTCAGAATTCACATCTTGCAGCTCAAGTTTATCGCGACAGATTTCGCCAACGGGTACACCCAGACAGAAGGACATTTGTACAAGTGTACCAAAGACTTCGAGGTACAGGAGGTGCTCAGCCCACTAATATTCGCACTCGTGAAAGACAGGTTACTGTAGAGCAGGATGAATAAATTTTAAATATCGTGGAAATCAATGCAGATATCAGCACTCGGGAATTAGGCCTCCGCGTAGGACTATCGCATACCATAGTCCATCGAATCCTACGGGAAAATTTGCTTTATCCCTACCATGTACAACGAGTGCAGGCCTTTTTACCAGAAGACTATCCTCGCAGACTAACATTCTGTCAGTGGTTTTTGCACAAAAACATTGAAAATCCGGATTTTTTTAAAAACATTCTGACGAATGTACTTTTACGCGAGACGGGATATTAAATGTCCATAATACTCACACGTGGGCCCAAGAAGATCCTCATATCATTCGTGACGGTCATTTCCAACAATGTATAAAATAAATATTTGGGCGGGTATTCTGGACGATCAGGTTAATTGGCCCTTTCGAGTTACCCCCAAAGTTATCAGGAGAAAGATACCTTAGCTTTCTAGCCAATAACCTACCAGGACTATTGGAACAGACTTTAGACATTACAACGGAGACAGAATTTGTGCTTCCTTCATGACGGGGCACCACCACACATTTTGACCCCCATATTATGTGAAACCTTTTGCTTCTTTTAACCCCTTCTATCACCCAATTAAATAATGACTATCATAACGTTTACACCCTGTATATCCAACGAATATCCACTGAATATTCATGAAGTATCCAGTGGTTCGTCATAGAAACCTCTAATGGCTGCTTCAAGTATACCCAGATGATCACACTATAGGGACGCGAACCTCTCGAGTCCATTTTCAAAAGGATGAATTGAAAACCTAATAAAGAAATTAACCATGATATTAAATTTGTAATCCGTGTATATCATATGTACTCATATGAATCCATTTAAAGTCATAGACGCTTTATATGGTTTTTTTATGCATTTGCTTCCCAAGTTCCTCTATCATGAGCACTTGGACATGTTTTTGGAGGCTATGATCTTGTAAACATCTTGCTCAATTGATACAATAATGTTCATTATTCAGACGAATTATGGTGAATAGTTATCACAGATCCTACATTTTTCTACAAAAAGACACCGTCAAATAATGCACCACCTGGAGACACACCCGCTGCACGCTACACTAGATACACGCAAACATGGCATAAAGCAAAATGGAAGCCGGTAAGCTGGTCGGTATGCCTAAATATGCACCTTATAAAACGAATATTCTCAACATATATCTTGCGGTTTCTAAGATCCTGATGGCCAGGGTTGAATTTGAAACACCCGGTATAAGTTTCAACTTCACTTTATTGTACTACATTTTGGCCACCACCAGTGGCTTTTTTCAAATAGAATGACAATTATGGACAGTATATTTGTATTTATCTTTATTATATTATTTTAATTGTCATTGTACTTGAAAAGGCCACCGTTATGACCGAAACGTCGTACAATAAGGAAGCATATATATGTGGTTTGATTGGGATAGACAATGGGGTCTTGTGATAATGTTGTAATGATGAACTTACTTTTTGAATAATAATTACTGATTTTGTGGATATATCCCAGTGCCCGGCACGGGTATTACGTAAAACACCTATAAAGCGTCAAAAAAACCTATAAGATGTCATCTGGCAGAGTAGGTAATTTTTAGGGCGCAAATAGGCATTCCATGTTGCTTACTAGGCTCGTTGTTTGTTTATTTTAACTAGTTAGATACAAATGTGTACATTGGCACGTCAAAAATAAAATAAATAATTACAAATGATGAATACAGTGTAAAATAGTACATAAGTATAAATTTCAAAAAATACGTGAACATCCTAAAAGATTAACAAAGAAAGTACAAAGGAACAAATTACAAACCACAATTAGAGAAGGAAGGAGGAGATATTAGTTGAGATTAAAAAGTGTCATTCAAACACTCTCTACAGCTATAATATGCTTTAGTCAGAAGCAGTTCAGTAATTTTTTTCTTGTATAAACAAGTCGCAGAAACTGACATAAGGCTAATAGGCAATTTATTGTAAAATGCAATACAGTTAAAGATGGGCGAACTTTCAAATTTGGCTGTTCTGTGCATTGGTGTTTATAATACAAATTCCTCCCAGTGCAACCTAACGTACATATGACAGTATAATATGTAAATACATGGTACAGTCAATACACACCCTCTGATAAATGTTGGCTTACAAGACTCTAGAGGTGAGATTAAACAGTAGTCGGATAATTCGCTTCTGAGAATGAACACACGGATAGATGCACTGCTTTTGCCCCAGCTCAAAAAATTGAGTGACATATGTGAGTAGGCCAAGGCATAATACACAGTATTTAGACCATCTCTATCACGGAAGTTCTATAGCTAATTTAGTTCATGGAAGACAGTGTTTAACTTTTTACAGCCACTGTCGATGTATGTATTCCAGTTAAGAGAATTGTCCCAAATGCATCCCAAGTATTTCACCTCATCAGCTAGGCTAATATTTGTTGTAACATCTGGATCTAGAGATTGGGAGTTACGCAGATGGTATTGTAATGACATTGTCTCCGAGTTATATTAAATTTAATCGGTTACAGAAACACCAAGCGAATGAATATCTCATCTATGTTTTGGTGGTTTTTCCAATAAATGATCGGCTTGTATCTGATGCTATAGTAATTGCTGTGTCATCTGCAAAAATCGATAAACGTCCGTCCTGAATGTATTCAAGAAGATCGTTTATGTAGCATATAAAAATCAAAGGTCCCAAAATAGAACCTTGAGGCAATCCAAGATGAGGATCAAGAGAATCCGAAAGCCTGCCTTTGCATGATACAGTCATCTTTCTGCTTGTCAGATGAGACTCTAACCATTTCAGAACATTGCAAGGGAATCTAAGAGCCTTTAGATTGCTGACTAGAAATGTTGGATCTGAGGTATCGAAAGCTTTTGTTAGATTAAAGAAAAGTGTTGCCGATTGTTTATTAGTATCTAATTGAGTGAATATATAGTTCAGCATATTAGAAGAAGTGGACTCCAGTGCAGGTCATTTTTCTCAAAATAGTAAACCATTCGGATATACTCGTATATAATTTTTTCAAATGATTTTGAGAAGCTGTTCAGTGAGGATATTTGACGATAGTTGTCAATATCTGCTGTACTACCTTTCTTATGCTCATTATGCTCAGAAACAACAAGTGCAGTTTTAAGTGCCCCGGGAACGTGCCAAACAAAAGTGACAAGTTCAACAGAAAAACAATGTGTACCATGAGCACATCGAGTACATGATCGAGCGTTTTTTTAAGCTTAATCCTTTAAGACCTGAACACTTGTTTAGTGCCGCCATGGCTTCTAGTACTTCGCGGTGTGAGATGGGTTCATTGTTGAATTGATGCGTTAT